CCCTTGCTTCGTCTTATTTGAGCCGCATTTGGTGCAGCAAAATACGAAGGAACGATTTCGGGCAAGTGCTTGTGACGTAGTCAGGTGCGGACAAGACCTTAGCATCAGCAGGGTGCACCTAGGACACGTCAGAACCTTGTAGGAGGGTGCGGAGTTTAGCCCGCACCCTCCTACAAGGGGACGTCGCGCCGTTGAATGCTCCCGAAAGACCTGCCACGGGCTGGATAGGGCCTGCCCTTACTATGTGGAAGATGAACTTGAACACATGTATTACTCCTAAGACTACATTAAGACGCCACGAATGGCGCCAACATTTTCGGGTAGAAAAATGAGTAAATGGAGAACATTCAACAAATTAATACAGTCAAGGAACAACACATGTGGTTATAGAATAGTGCGGTAAATCAATAGCAATGTTTACAAATGAATAAGATGAATGCATACTTATGGATGATAAAAAGTAGATGGCAAACTAATCGGTAAATAGGTCAGAAAAGACCACTAGCGCCGAAGTACTAAAATGGGACGTGGAGTGGCTGCTCTCTGGTCCACCGGTTGCACGACCGCTCATGACGAGCGCGGGACGACGACTGATTCAAAAATGATGACAATGGTAGTACTGTAGGCACGTTTCCCCGCGAATCATGCTCTTCTTAATAAGACCGTCAAGACTGCAACCCGAGTGCGGTTTCCTTCCGGCCCTCTCAATTAATCCCAGCGGACGGTCCGTGGCAAATCACGACAGCCTGACGCGGTTGTCTTGAAACTGAGGAGAGACGCCTACTGGGTGAAAGAAGTGGTGCGAAAGTGATATGAAAGTGAGAATTGCATTGCCAAGCTTCACAAGAATATGGACGATGCCCTTTTCCCTCCCCCCTCTCTAAGCCGCTGTGCCGCTTTCTCTTCCCCATGGCAAATACTGAGCCTTCACCGGTTTTACCTGAGTCTAACAAATTCAAGAATGCCCAAGCAGTACTGGTTATTTGTAGATGGGCATCGGTTTGAACGGCAACCGAAAATGCCGCACTTCATCTACGATGTGTGCCTACAATGTTGGAGACGGCTTCCATTGGACAGACCACATTTCAGGTCAGTTCTGTACCATACAGGAATTGTGGTCAGGAAAGCGTGAAAAGTTAGACCACCGATTCCAGGGAAATCGAACTTTACCTGCTTCCGCATTACATCGAGTACGAAGCTTCACATATGGAAATCATCTCGGAACGGCATAAAAAACAGCAGGAAACCGTTCGGCACCAAGTAAATGATACCAATATGACCGAAATTGACTTTATCGATCGTCATTGATTTCGATCTTTACTAGTATTTCTCTAAGTTTTCTACAAAAAGTCTCCGAAAGATTATACATCACTTTTTTCGTGTTCTATTTCGTCAGGTTAATAAATGTTTAAAATATTTGGAGAAGTGGAAGGACATTTTACTGAAAAAACCACCGATAAATTGAGATTTCTATTCATGTAGCCACTCAGAGGTCTCACCTCTGTGGATCCGAATCTTTTCTGTGTACGGGAGATCCGCTGCTGCAGTAGCCTGTCACTATCTGTAGTCAAAAGTGCACAGGAACGAAGCATAGTGTTGCACGGATGCTCCCACTTCTCCGCCCGCGCTGCCGCACGGCTAGCCAGGCGCCAATCATATCCAAACGCTCTGTTGATCTGCGTCCTCTGACTTGTGATTATCCCATAGCTCAGAGAACGTGTTCCACTGCGGTTCTTGGTAATGACGCAAGTGTTGCACCTTGAAGACGACGCGGGCGGATGGAGCCGGCACTCAGGTGTCACTTCTGGTGTTTTACCAGTGAAGTTCTAGCACAGGTAACTATTTGTTGAGACGTACTCATATTGGAACCGAGTAACCGACCGAAACACAATAAAATGAGGGCTTGTATACAGACGGGTGTGGGCGGTGCTCAGCTTCTATACCAATGGCTTTACTTAAAACAAGGTATGAAAGAGCGCACCGCACCAGCTGGGTTATCTGAAGTGAGGCATGTACTTGATTGCCCGCTCACAATACCACCTCCATATGTACTCGTACGCTCATGGTTATTGAATGGTCTCGCACGTTATCATTTGATTCTATATGCCGGACAAACTATACATTTTTATCCATACTGTATGCTCATATGACAATATGGTTGTGAGTTCACAACACTGGAGCGGGGCGAAAAGGGAGCTGTAGCTAACAGTACAAATAGTAATGCATAATTGAATGAGAAATAGGGAATTATTACCAACAAAGCAATCAATTAATAAAAGGTGGTGACATGAATGATTGAAGCACCAATGGGGAAATCTACATATCCGTCAACTGAAGTGGATGTATACAGTGACATTTCTCACATACACCTTTATCATTATACAATTTTGCTACATATGTGTGATCGATCTTCTCCCTACTGCGGCACTGAGCCGCTCGAAGCTTGCATTATAGCAGACATACACCATACTTCATCCGGTGGTTCAGTGGAAAAAGGC